TGAGAAGAGGGGTTTATGTCAGGAGATTGCTAGGGGTAAGCATCGTTGAGATTATCACAAATCGAGAATGACAAAATATTTGAGCCTTGTTTCCACTCAGGCCCCAACAAAGTTTGAATTAGATTTGAACCAATTGAAATTCAAATTGGTTCAAATCAATCTCAAATGACTTACAAATTCAATGAGTACTTTTCAAATATCATTATATGTAAATTTATTCAAACTAAGTTTTCTAATATTATTTTTTCAAATAAAAATATACGGTGAATATTTCTCTAAATTGACGCCTTATGATCCATGTAAAGTTTAAATTCTTGTATGTATTTGGTAAATAAATTTTAATTATCTTCTACTACACATGTTCTAGGCAAGTCCTTGGCTTAAGGCATCGTGTAATGTAATGCGAACAGCCGGTGCTCAGTTCCTTGCAACCATCGACTAGCACGCCAGTGTTTCCTCTACTCTTGGTAAATCTCTGCTACATATTATAAGCTCCTCTCAACACTTCAGCTCTTCCTGAAAATGTTTCTTGTTTGCTCTTGGCAACACTGTTGAAACGTTATGCATCCCAAGAAAGATCCCGACAACATTATCACGTACTCCTCCACTATAGCTATCAAAAGAGCTCGTACTTTGCAAACAACTCAGAAGCTGTTTGATTCATTCATTCAGTGAGCTAATATTGAATAAAAGAATTTGCACAATTATATATATATATATATATATATATACTATTAATCATATAAAATTTTTGTTGTGTGTTGAAATACTCGTAGCAGGACCGCGGTTGGCGTGATGGGGCTAGAAGGATTGTTGTTGGGTAACTGCAATTTGAGGATCATAATTGATGTGTGTGATTATAATTCTCAAAACCACTATAGTTAGATTATGGTATGTAGACCACTACTGCCCAGTTGGAGGTGAAAGTAAACACACAACGAACAAAAAATAGAAATTTAGAGGAAAGTAAAGAACACCAGGATTTAATGTGGAAAAACCCGAAACCGGAGAAAATCCATGGAGCCATACCACACCAAGAAATCCACTATGAAAAAATGGGAGAATTAGTACAAATCTCTCTTTATATCTTACTCTCTCTTTGCTGTCATTCTCTCTTATATCATTGTTATAGAAGAACAAATAAAGAGATACAATACGTACCACCAAAGGATGCCACTATTAAGAAAACAAGAAAAAATTGTCTAGCCAGCCTCACAAAGCTGTTGGGCCAATTTGGAGCACCGCAACACTCAATGCTTTGTCTCTAGTCTACCTAATAGCATTGAAATGCTAGATCTTGAGCGCTGCGGCGCTATGTTCTCCTTCTTTTCGTCAAACGAACTATGCAATATTGGAATGCTCGGGTACATAATATCCCACATACTAATAATCTCCCACTTAAAATTGATTGTGATAAATCATTCTCCTAATCTGTAATACTAATCATAATACATATAGCATGCCTCTCCCCCTACTCTCATCCTTCATGAAGACTAATTGAAGCTATACATAGTTTTAGTTTATCAAATATCACCATCTTCATCAGCATGTCTGTAGGATTCTCGGTCAGTTGTATCTTCTCCAAATATAATTGACCATTGTCCAAAAGCAATATGATGAAATAATGTCAAAGCTGTATAAGCTTCATCCTGGCATAGAATGCATCATGTTTTGCTAGATAAATTGCACTCATGTTATCACTATACAACTTTTCATTCCTTTGCCCCTTGCCAAGTTCTACCAAGAAACTTTACAAACATATTTTCTCCATACTAGCCTCAGTGATAGCAATGCACTCATCTTCTATGGTTAAGAGCACAATAATCTTTTGTAACTTGAAACCCCAACTCACTGCAGTCTTTCCCAAGGTGAAAATATAACTTGTTGTGCTCATTTTACCATCAAGATCTCCAATAAGATTAGAATCTACATACCCATATAAATTATTCTCTGCACCTCCAAAGCAAAGAGCTTTGTCTAGAGATCCTCTCAAATACTTAAGAATCCACTTAATAAATCTGCTGAGTACTCCAATTATATATGCTATATCTAGTCTCATACATAGCATAGCATACATCATACTACCAACTATTAAAGCAAATGGAGTCCTCTCCATCTGCTCTTTTCTGCTTCAAATTTAGATAATTTTTTCTTAGATAGTTGAAAAAGACTACCCAAGAGAGTGTAAACTGGCTTTGCCTCTCTCATATTAATTATATACAGCACCTTTTTAATATATTGAGCTTGAGATAACTTCAGTATACCTGCACTTATATCCCTATTGATTTTCATACCAATTTTTTTTGTTAGACCCATATCTTTCATTTCAAACTCCTTGGATAACTGCTCCGTCAGACATATTAGTTTTGCTATAACTAACCCGACAAGTAGCATATCATCTACATATAAAAGTATAATAATATAATAGTTACCAAATATTTTAAAAAAATAATAGTGATCTGTCTGACACTTCATGTACTCATTGTTTGACTTAAATCTATCAAATCTCATGTACCACTATCTTTGTGCCTACTTCAGCCCATATAAGCTTCTTTTGAGCCTACACTCTAGATTTTATTTACATGTGACCACATATAACTAAGGGAGCACCATTATAACTCTTCTTCAAGGTCACCATAAAGAAATATTACCTTTACATCCATATGTAAATCTTCCATTGCCACTATGCTCAGTATAACCCTGATTGTAGTAATCTTCATTACCAAAATGAAAATTTTAGTTAAGTCCACTCCTTCCTTCTGTTAAAAACCTTTAACTATAAGCCTAGTCATGTAAAGCTTGCTAACATCGTGTTCTTCTTTCAGTTTGTAAACCTACTTATTATGCAGCACTCTCTGGTTATATGGTAGCTGTGTCAAATCTCAAGTTTAATTCAACTTAAGTTAAAGTATGTCATCATTTATGACTTCCTCCCACTTCTTTGAATCATTAACTTAAATGGTCTCATTATAGTACCCTAGTTCACCGCTATCTAAAGAAAGGAGAATACATTTGCACTATCTTTGATATTCAAGGGGGTCTCCTAACTTCAGTAGCAGATGTCTGAGAAAACCATTATACTTCATCAGCTTTATCTTCTTGGTCATTATCAGTAGAATTAGCTAGCTCCAGGATTTATAATAAGTTGTCATGTCCAGAAACATGTTCAAATTCTTTTAGGCAATAAGATTTATCAAACATTTAGTCATAAAGTTCTCTTTAATGTCGAACTAGAACCCAATGTCATAAGTCATTGTATAAGGCTTTGTTTATTCAAGGATTATGGTATTTTGAATTGACTTTGCACATTGACTTCAAATTCCTCCTAAGCTTTAGGATTAATCCCCAATTTATATTCTTTTATCATTTTCAAGTTCAGCAGCCTCCCGGCTAGGAGTGTAAATTTTTGACATGACCTGAAACCCGACCCGGACCCAACCCGAAAAAATATGAGTTCGAGTTGACCCAGTTAGCAAACGGGTCAGGTTCGGGTTGGAATTTTTGATCCGTTTTAAAAACGGATCAAGTTCGTGTTGACCTAGAATCCCGAAATCAACCCGACAATGTCTCAAAAGTCAGACTTGGACTTCGCTACCGCACGCTCTTGAGTCGCGACTCCGAACTCTGTCTGCAGGTTACAGCCCTGCACTCACTAACTCACGGTCGCGCAGACCGTTAATGACTACGTCTGCATGCCCCGCACTCGTGAACCTGCGGACTAGCTGGCTCTGCCCGCTACTACGGTCCGCACGCTCGCGACTCTAACTCTATAAACCTAACTCTGCCCGCACTCGCAGACTCTTCCGCTACCTCTCGCAGGCGCGCTTGTGACTCAAACTCAACTAACTGCACTCGCAGACTGGCCTAGGCACGCTCAACTTGTATTGCTTTAGCGGTTCAGCCAAATCCAGATCGGGTCGGGTCGGCCCTTCAACCCGTACAGGTCGGCCCTGCAACCCGTACGGGACGGGTCTGGGTTGAAATGTTTGACCCGTTTGCAAATACGGTTCAGGTTCGGGTTGAACCGTTTAGATCCGGGTCAGCTCAGGTTCAACCCAAACTCGACCCGTCAACCCAAATCGACACCCTTACTATTGGCCTCTTCTCCCCGCTAGCGGAGGTTGAGTAGAGCACTTGCCCTTTTGGATCAGCTCAGCCGGATCAAACAAATGACGAGGATCTTGGGGGAGCAAAACGACCACGAAATTAGTCTTTCAATATTTTATTGTGTCCGACCTATTAATTAAATGATTTAATTTTATTTTAAAGATGATTTTATTCCCCTTGAAAATCCAGCAATCTTTGAGCACCCTCCTTGCCAGGAAAGATTGGGGAGGGCACCTACCCTTTTGAATCAACTCAGTCCGATCAAATCAACAATGAAGACTTCGGAGGAGCGAATCGACCTCGAAATTGATCTTCAAACCTTCTATCCACTCAGTCAGATCATATTGAAATCCAAAGGCTTTGGGGGACATAATCAACCCCGAGATACCTCTGATCTTCTCCTATTGTGGTATCTATTTGAAAATCATTTCTCCTCTTTCTAGATATATTAACTATAATGCATTTTAAATTTAGGGATTTGTTTTTTGATTGAAGCTAGTATAAAAGAAAAGAAAATACCTAGCACACAGGATTATCATCAGCATCCCTCGAGGGCACGAATGGCGATAACAGAGTGAATCGATCATGAAACGAGCTCGTAAGGGCAAAAATTGATAAGAGCTTGCAAAGAGGCGATAGAAAATTTAGTCATGAATCATGATGTGAGCTTTATGTGCAGAGGTTGTGATATGATCAACATTGATATTTCTGCGATTTTTTAAGACACTAACAATCAATTAAATATGCGTTTTAAATTCTTCCAACAAATATTTTGAATTTGCAATTCAACTGCCTAAGCATTGGAATTTTAACACTGAAGAAAATACCTTTCAAATTAAGCATCCCCTTAATGAAATCCACATTCTACCAACCCACATAAAAACTAATTGATATACGCTGATGAAAGAATACATTAACTATCAATAACTTGACCACTGAAATGATAAAAACATCAAACTCCAAAATCAACATAATTTTGTAGGTGAAGTAGTTTAAAGACACAAAGTAAAAGTATTTTTAAAGTTTGTTATAATTTCTCCCTCAGCTTTGCATGATTGTTTGTTCATCTCCGTATGTTAAGTTTGTTGATCATTCCTTTAAAAAAGCTTTTCATTCCCCCATTCCAGCTTCGGTGTACTGAGTGCTTTCCTGTTTGACATTGAAAAATATGAAAAAGAATGGATGAGTATCCTTTATGAATTCTCTCGATCTTATGATTTTTTATGAAAAAAAAAATATTAATAACCAAGCAATAACTCATAGTAGTTGTACAAAAATCCTAAAGAAGAGCGTGCAAAAAGGATATATTATATGCTTATTTGACAATCATAAAACTTTAAAAAATAAAAGACTACAAAATTTAATCTCAACGAAAAAAAAACTATTAGGCAAGATAGAGCATGAAAGCATATATGCATAAAAAAAAATAAAATGACATTTGCTTTTAAAACATATAAAAGTTTCATACATTTTAATGTGCTCCAAACATCCAACTAATCTATGAAACATACAAGAAATTAAAATAGTTGTAAATTATATAATAATCTAATATTTAGAGGAGAAATAAATATGATTAAAATAAGAAAAAAGGTGACTTGTGATTTTGCTAAAAAAAGTAAAAATTTATAAAGATAAAATTGAGATAATAATAAAAAAATGCATAATTGTAACAACTACTATGTTTTTAATGAGAATCAATGGTAAAAGTTAGCCTAAAAAGAAATGAATAAGCAAACAAGTATTCATGAACATAGGTGATAAACCTAATGACAATGTTGACAATTATAATGAATTGAGAAGAGCAAGCTTAAATATGATTAATAAGGATAAAATATAAATAATGTCCGAGAAAAAAATAAAATATTTCTAATCTTAATGATTGAAATACTCAAATTTATACACAAGCATTTGTGAAAATATGATAAAAATCAATGCTTAAACAGACCAAGCAATATACAATTAATATGATTTAAGTTATTATTCAAAACTTACCCAATATAATTTGAGCACAATGAATTTTCTTGCATGAATGATGGATGCCTGGAAAAAAGTAAGGTAATTGTTTACTGAAGAAATTTCAAAAAAGGAGCAAAAAAACAGAGGCAACAGAGTATATGAATGTATGATGTAAAGTAAGAAGCTATCAATTTCAATTTAAATAATTATGAAAATTATACTAAAGATTAACCAAGGCTTTGGATCAAATATGAAACATGCAAGCATGCTAAAAAAAAATTAATTTTTTACTATTCTTCAAAGCTATTCACAAATGTGCGCACCTGGAATAAGAATACTTTCACCTCCAAATGATTTTTATGAAACTTCCTCAACTTCGGCAGCGGCATCTACAGGAGATTCTTCAACAGGTTTGATCTCATGTTCTTCTTCGTTCTCTCTTTCTTCCGCCTTTCCTTTTTCCATTTTTTTCTTTATGTTTGAAGCTTTAATCTTTGAAGCAGTAGCTTTAGTTTCAGGTCTAGTAGTTGCTGATTTCAGAGAAGTTGGTTTTGAAATTGACTTCTGGGTGGCAGTTTTCTTGGGAGCTGCACCATCAAGTGCAGTTGCTGCAGCTCCATACTGCTTGACTGAGTTGAGCTCAGACTCGGGGAATTGAGTTGAGTCATTATCTTCTGAGGAATTGTTAGCCGCAGTGTTAGAGGGCTTGTGACGTCCAAGCTTTGGGGATCGAGCCCTTGTTGGAGGGATCTGTAAGATAACAATGATGAACGCCAAAATAGATCACGAAATCTTTGTTTAGAGAACCCAACATGGCAGGGATGGTTGATCAAATCAATTGTTTTCTTGAAATGCCACTAACAGAAGATCTGAGCCATTTATTATATTTAATCCAAACCATTATGTCATTCAATGATTCTAACCATTAACTGAAAATATCTTAACCGAAATTTATACTAGTCAACAAATAAATCTGGTCTGATAATATCAAGCCAGCAAGTAATCACAATGCTTATGGATGAAACTCTAAACTGGAAAAAAAAAGTTCATAGTTAATGTAAAAGTACTTCTAAATATGAGAGTTTCATGAAAGAATATTAATGAACATTATAATTGTTTTTAAAAATATGTTATAGTGATTTTCATAACAGCATATAACCATTATACTATTAATGTCCATTTGAACAGGGTCATTCATATTAACGGAACTTGACGCCCATGAACTTGGTGGTGCAAGGAAAATTTCTGTAGCTTGCCACTAAAGCCTGTAGAGGCATCCCCGGTTGGGTTCCAAGCAGATAGTCTAACGAGGGGTGCCATCCAAATTCAGATATTGCCCTTCGCTTTGATGTTGAGATTGATGCTCCAAAACCTACAACACAATTCACTTCAAAATCTTCAGGGAGGCCAAGTCCCTCCGGTTCGTCCATATACAGGATGGACCACGGTTAGATTCACATAACCCAACCCCTTTCTCTCCTAGTTTAGCTCCCCACAATATCTAAGTGACCAAAACTCATATTGATGTTCCACTAGTTCCTCAACAAGACTTTTGATATTAGTTCATATATGCGTAAAATGAATACGTTACAAGTTCATGGGGGGCCTCATCTCAATTCAGCCACCCAACATGAACACTAGTTTAGCCCTATAAAGCATGGTCTGGGTAAACAAAACTCATGCCAAACCCATCTTAGATTCTCAATGAATTGACACTTCTTGTCCTTGACAAAGCTATTCTATTCCTCAGTGAAACATCGCTTGCTTTTCCCTAGTTTTGTTCTCTACTACTCGAGGGTGTTCAAGGAAAATAAAACCAGCAACAAATCTTATCTTGGATTCCCAACGAAGACCAAATCCAAGCGTGATTTAGGATATTAAACTAGGTTGAGTCCAAATCCTTCTCTTTACAAGCATCATCCAAGAGCCACACATCACTTAGTCCTGGGGGAACCTAGTTTCATTCCTGAGCAGTACATTCTGATTAAACTTGATCCTCTTGTTTCGCACATTAGGAGGTAAACATAATCGAGATGTCCTGAGCCTATTCTTAGTTCCTTTGAACTTGGCCCAATGCCTTGCTCGACATCTCCCAAAATTTAAATCCTTTGATTTTGACCTTTTGAGTCAACCCTACTGAATGCCTAAGGTAGCCAACCTTACTGCTAAATCCTTAAAGAAACAAACAAATTAAAAAAAAAAAAAAATTAAAGTTTTTAAACTTGTTGCTGTCAGCCCAACATTCCTTAAACCTTATACTAAATTTCATCAAAGCCCAAGGCACCATCTACCAGTGCAGTTTATGATTCATGTAAGCCCCAACTTTAAATGCTAAAACCAAATGATATTCCCCATTTCATCCGTGATAGGGCCCTGTGAGCCCTAATTTCTATGATTGAAGCTCTCCATTCTTGAAGGAAGCTATATTTTCAAAACAATGAAAGATTGGCCTTTTGACACTTAAGTCCCTCTACTTTCCCACTTTGGCTTTTGGTTGAATGAGGTCCAAATTTTCAAACTAGGATACTACTGCTCTTTTGGGTTGATGTCCCAAATAACCCTAATGAATTAGTATTCATTTATTGTGAAACATTGTTGACTCCATGCCAAGAATGTCACTTATAATGCAATGCATATTTTGAATCATCACAATTCAAGATTTTGCTAGGTTTGACTACATTGATATTACTTTATTCCCCAATTGATCAACACCTACTTCTTTCAGCACACAACAAGCTCTTCGGCAATCTACTCGCACTTGAGTAGGTTTAAGTCAGTGTGATATGAATGCTTCAGACTCCCCTGCTTCAAGAATTACTCTATCCCCAAAAAATATTCCCTTGCTAGGATTAAGAAATGGCTTCTTTTAACAAGTTCTCCAACCCCTGACTTAATGCATCAAAGTCAGGGCTCCAAGAAATCCTCACATTGAAGATTAAAGTACCACCCCATAGGGTCGAGACAAAATCAATATGAGATTCCATGAAAAGCAGATTAAAAATATATCCTAAATATTTCTCATAAATAATAGAACATGATTTATTTAATTCTAGGGGATCAGGTCTTCCATTAGAGAGGTTAGATAGATAACAAGGATTTATGATACCATCCAAAGAAAGAATTAATTTCTTAAGGTTACAAGACAGTATAGATTTAGCTCAATAGCAAGTACACAAATGGTGTTTCTTGCATGAATGATGGATGCCTGGAAAAAAGTGAGGTAATTGTTTACTAAAGAAATTTCAAAAAAGGAGCAAAAAAACAGAGGCAACACAGTATATGAATGTATGATGTAAAGTAAGAAGCTATCAATTTCAATTTAAAAAATATTTTAATTATGAAAATTATACTAAAGATTAACTAAGGCTTTGGATAAAATAAGAAACATGCAAGCATGCTAAAAAAATTAATTTTTTACTACAGAAATATTAAGATATTTTTAATTAAATGTCCTAAAAAATACCTATTAGAACACAACTATATTTGGCGCTAAACAAAAAAAAATGTTAACATAATTGGCGATAAAAAATACATGTTCGCTCACATCACAATTTCTTATTTCTCCTCATGAATAAATCACCCACGACTCCACGTCTCCATGTAACACCTATGACACCTACCAATTTCAGAATCTAATACTCAATTGTGCCATTGCATTTCCTTCAAACACCTCCAACCATTCTATAGTACTGCTCTATAACTCTTCTCTACCGCTGATTGCAAATGTGTTTCTTATTTTTCATATCATTTCATGTTGAGTGACTTGCCTATGGTTTCTTTCAATCCGAATGCAAATTGTCACTACATTGCCAAACGCCAACTTCCGCTATTACGCAAAAGGTAAATATTCTGCTCTTTTCCTCTTCTCTATTGTTGATTGCGAAGGTGATCAGGCCATTGTTGCAAAGTCCATCTCGGATCTTAATTCTTCTGAGTTTCTTGTATGATTCACTGCTGCAGAATTCCTCAACTTGATTTTCTTTAGATTCTTTTAGATTCCTTATATTGCCCTTGTGTTTTATATAAATTTATGCAAATTTTTGAACCAGGATTTCAAAACATCTTGACAGGGGTGGAACACATCGTGGATTGAGGTAGCTCCGTAGCAGCAGTGTTTTTGAGCCCTAACAAATACCTCTTATGAATGGCGGCTTATTTAATCCTAATTATGCAAATCTTGATTCGGTAACTGAGTATGATTATAATATATTACTCAACAATTTTATTTCACTAGTACAAAAAACATTAAATTGCTATCAATAATGGATCTCTTCAAAGTGCACAATGTGACAGTAATAACGCCTCAAAGAACCCACTCGTGTTATACTTACATAATCAATCGAGATTTCCAAAAGCACTATGGAGCATAGGACATGGACTTAATGATGTTTCTCATTATAATAATTCATGAATATTTTTTAATTGTTCAAAGTTTCTTATGTATAAAAAATGTCTATTCATGAATCTTTTCCAAGCTAACAGGTGCACCTTTCTTCAGTCTTTTATGCTAACCAAATTTAAGAATCATTTCTCTACTGGACTATTGTGCTGTCACCTAATCCATTTCATTTTACTTGCCAATCTATATCTTATTTACTAAAAGAGCAACATAACATGTCAATAATTTATGCAATGCTCTGCTACCTTAAGTTATCACACACGCACACACACAAACGTGCACGTTCTGCTCACTAGCTTCCACTTTTGCTCTAATTTAACTTGAGTGCAATCTTCTGAGAGTGTAAGTTTGAAGACATGGTAAATGTGAAATAAGATTATTGTTACCCAATAAACACTCTAATTTAACAATTGCTCTAAAATCTGAGAGAGATAACATTCCCTATAGACATTGATAATGTGATTCTTAATGTCAAACTTCTTATCTCCCATTTTATAGATGCATCTACAACAAAACAAAATTTAGCGTTGGAGAAATTTTTCTTTGAGGGCCCAATTTGAAAGTATGTAATGAGAAATATAACATTTCCTATCTCTAATTTTGGGTATATCATGGTTATAGCAAGTCATACGTTTATCTTCTGACAAGCGAGCATTAGTTTGGGTAGCGTTGCCCCAACCTTGCAAAAAGTGGGATAATCGGGTACAACTCCAACTGCTATTGAATGGCTCCAATAGATAAATTTATCTCCTAGCTAATCATGATTTTACTTGATCTCTATTGTTGTGTCTGCTGAATAATTTATACAACTCACACTTTTTTTTTGCCTTATTACTTGTGTTCAAACACAAGGTGGATTGACCAAATATTTTCCTATTTTGGTTGGGTTACATCAAGGATCAGCCTTAAGCCTCATTTGATGTTCTCATTAGACATTTGCAAGAGATGTTACCTTGGTGTATGCTTTTTGCTTGATGATATTCTTCTTGTTGATAAGATAGAGAGATAGTTGAAGGTAAAACTTGAATTATGGAGGTCAACCTTAGAGTCTAAAGGTTTTTGCTTGAGTATATCTCTAAAACGGAATATAATGGAGTGTAATTTTAGTAGTAATAGACTAGTGAGGGATTGTGACTTTGGCGCATCAAGTCATTAATAAGAGTACACGTTTTAGATATCTTAGATCTATTGTTCAGAGTATGGTGAAATAGATGGAGATATTATCAGCAGAAATTCAAGTTGGATGGTTGAAGTGGAGGAATGCATCGGGCTTGTTTATGTGATAGAAATGTACCCCCAAACTTAAGGGAAAATTCTATAAAATGGTAGTGAGGCCTGCATGCTTTATGGTGCCGAATGTTGGCCATTAAAGAAGAAGATAATACTAAGTTAAGTGTTGGCAAAGATGAGGATGATCAGGTGGAATGAGTGGCTTTACCTTAGAGATAGGATACGAATGAGCATATACGTGAAAAGGTTGGAGTAGCTCCAGTAGAAGATAAGATTAGAGAGAGTTGCCTTATATGGTTGGTCACATAAAACGGCGGCCTTCTGAAACCCGGTTAGGAGAGTAGATGTATTAGATTACTTATTAAGAAAGGTAGGGGTAAGACCTAAAAAGACTTGGTTAGAAAATAATTAAGAATGACCTTTCTTTATTAGATTTAAACGAGAATTTGACTTTTAATAGGACACAATGGAGAAAAAGATTCATGTAGCCGACCCCAGTAGTGGGACAAAGGCTTGATGTTGTCATTTGTTTGCTCTTGTCTCTTCCAATCTTCTATCTGTTTGAGTTGAAGTTAAAGAAATCATCTTCTCCTATCACTAGACATATACTAATTATTTTGTGATCTCTTTATTCTTATGTGGGATAACCAACATCACTTTTAGCTTGTGTTAGTGTTCAATAGTGTAGGTAAAGAATGCAGTAGGTGAAATGGATTATTTAGAAAGTATACATTTAACTATTCTTATTTGTTGGTGTTCATTGTAGAGGATGATGATATTTAACACTTTTTATTTAGCTAAAACAACATTTGAAATGGTTGTACTTAATATTCTTTAGCATTCTATTCTTCTAAGTACTGTAGTTCTTGATTCCTTTCGACATGAAAGTAACAAAATTATTAGTTTTATCCCATTTAACATTTTATGCCTCTTTGGATTCAAAGGCTACACTCAATGAGCTAAATAATGCATTTATTATAGCGCGCAACTGATTGATGTAAGTGGATGCAATTAAATGTATTATTTATTAGTGCAATTGATTGTTGTAATGTATTTCCATATATATGCGGAGCCAGTTAACTATATTCTATAATATAGCAGTTTCAATATTTGACACGCATGAAAACCCGACCCGGAAATTTCGACGTTGCACTTACCCGTGTTGAAAAATGGTCGGCGTTAGGGTTACAAGGATTCGACCCGTTTGAAAAACGGCGTCGGTTCGTGTTGACCCGATGGGTTGCCGGGTCAAACCCGAAACCCCATTTAAAATGAGCTACCAGCTACTCGAACCTGCCCGGACTTCTACCGGCGCCCTGCCGCTCCTAAACACGGCTGCCCGCTCCTACTCGCGCCTGCGGATGCCTGCACTGCCCGCTTCAAACCGCGCTACCGCGCCTGCTCGCGCGCTTCCACGCAGTCGGCATGCGCTGGCCGACGTCCCGCCTGCGCACCCGTGTTAGGTGAAGACAAGCCAGCAACCCCGATGGGTTCGGTCCAGGCCATTTTAGGGTAGACCCGATTAAACCCATTTACCTACCAGTGTCAGGTTAGGGTCGACCGATTAAACCCGGTCAAATTCTAAATTCGACCTAAACCAAACCGAAACCCAATTTTAAACACCCCTAGAATGTGTAGATGTAGTATATGTTCTTGTAATGTAGTTCTTAAAATCTTTGTTTATCTCTATTTTGAAAATAGTTCAATACATGTTCAACTCTCAGTAAACCTCCTGCACAATTATTCACCAGATGTCTTATAATTTATGAGTTCAATAAAGAGATTTTTTTTATAACTTCAACCTTATACATTTATAAATTGGCATATCTAATCATTAAAACATTACAATTTCACATATCTTTTTCGCTACTCTGTTGTGACCTTATTTCTACTTTAATAATAGTGTAGAGTAAGTTCTACCAACTAATAAAAATCACTCAAAGCATAATTTCTTCATTACATGTATCAACAAGATTATCTAGAAAGTTAATATATGATCAAGATTATTTTTTTGAGTTTTAACCATAATTTTCACCTACAAGCTTCCTTGCACTGAAGATTTAAACTCGTTGGAGATCTCTTTGTAGCTTGAAGTAGAAAAAAGAGTTCTATGTTAATAATAAGTGTGTTGTTGCGTGAACACTAACAGAAATAAAGATTACAATGAAAACTTCAAATAATGCATCTTGACATAAAAATTCTTTAACGACTTTATTTCTTATTAATAACAATTAAAAATGATGCTACAAATATATACTTTTAGATAAATAAAATAAATACAAAAACTCTAATTTTTTCACTTTCTATTATAATATATAAAATATATAATTAGAATAAAAAAATTAAAAAGTAATTAAATGAATATTATTAATTTGTTATATATTTATAGAAAATTACTCATTTTTAATAAATCAAGTGATATTATTCAATGCTAGTCCAAGTGAAATAGCAATATCAATGGAACAACTTCTTTTTGCATCATTCAATTTTTAATTCCATCTTGAATTAATCAAAAAAGTCACAAAAAATTTTCTTGAAAAAAATATTTAAACAAAAAATTTATAGTAAATATTTATAAAATATATAGAAAATCAATTTTAATTTATAATTCATCATCAAACTATATTAATATTTTCAAGGTGATTATTTAATTAAAAAATACTATGAAGTATGATAAACAATTAACGATTAAAATTTTATATTATCAGCACTTTCTCTTATTGGTATTAATATTTTGAACCTTATGGCTGAACAAAAATTATAAAATAAAATATTTTAAAAGATATTAAAAATAAAATGTGTAAGCTTAAATTAAATTAACTTACATTAAAATGCCTAGTAGTGCTACATATGAATTCACTTACCCCATGTCAAACATCAAAGTGTATTGTCAACTTCTGTATTATTTTGTTAAGATGTATTTGACTATAGAAAATTCAACATTATTTCTCCAACTTTAAAAGGCTATATCAAATTTCAATCTTGATATCGAATTTTTACAAGTAATTGTTTTCTCATCATAAAAATATAGCAGACATCTATATTATAATAATTGAAATAATTAAATCATAATTAAAATAAATTACAACTTGAAAAAAAAAACAAAAGATGTTTGAACAAGTATTCAGGTAAAAATCTAACATACAATAGTTATGTTAAAAATTTAAAATATTAAATAAAAATAATGAAATATAATTTTTTTACCTTTAATAGTTTACTATTTTTTTATGAAAACATAATGATAGTATATCATTATTATATTTTTTCTCCACAGCTAACCCGAACCAACATTTGTCAATATTTTTGATTTCTCATAAATATAACATAAATTATATTTCTAATATCATAATATAAATAAAAAATAAATATATAAATAAATGTAAAACTTATATAATTGGATTTCAATATCGTATAACTGATGCATCACTTTAAATTATTGACTCATTAAACGATATGTGATGACAATTCCTTTACAAAAATTTGACAGCTTCACAGCATATATTTTTAAAAAAAGATGCAAGTTAACGGACAAACTCAGCATGAATTTAATTGGGATCTCAATGATAAAAAGATGAGCTCTTTTAAAATTTAAATATGTTTATTATTTTTTTTAATTTTAAAAGAGCTCTCCTCTTCTTCATCATTGAGATCTAACTGGAATTCAACTATTGCGTTTGTCCCATAACTTACGCCTTTTTTTCTCGAAAAAATATACTGAGAAGGCGGTCAAATTTGTAAGAATTATCAATCACATATCGTTTAATGAGTCAATAACTTAAAGTGAGCGTTGAAACCTAATTATATGTAAGTTTATATTTATTATTTAATTTAATTATAATATTAGAAATATAATTTTGTTATATTTTATAGATGATTATGAGAGTCAAAAATAGTACAAATAAGGTTCGGGTTGGATATGAGAAAAAAATATAATAACTTGCCATCATTATGTTTTCATAAAAAATGATAAATATTAAAGGTAAAAATTAATTCTTATTATTTTAATTTAAGATTTTAATTTTATCATAACTATTGTATGTTAGATTTTACATATATGCTTGCCCAAACATGTTTGTTTTTTCCCAAATAGTAATTTTTTTAATTATGACCTAATTATTATAATGTAGATGTCTGTTATATTTTATGATAGGACAACAATGACTATTAAAATATTGATATCAAGATTACAATTTATATAGCAATTATTGGAGTTGGAGAAATAAGTTAATTTATATAATCAAATACGTCTTACAAAAATGATCAGAAGTGGATGCACTTTTGATGCGGCAGGGCAATTAACCCACATGTAGCACTATTAGACATTTTTAAGGTAAGTTAAACTAATTTAATTTACATATTTTTATTTATACATCTTTTGAAAATATTTCTAATAATTTTTGTCCAGCCATAAATGTCAAAATGCTAATGACAAGACAAGTTAAGATAATATAAATTACTTAATCGTTGATTGTATTACCACACAAGTAAGCATTTTTATTTAACTTAATATATTGAATATTATATAGTTTATGATGAATTATAAATTAAAATGATCTTTGAAATAATTTTATAAATATTATTATAATTTTTTTTTAATAATTTTCAGAAAACACCTTTCTAGGGGTTACTGATTAACAAGATAGAATAG